TTTTGATTCATCTCGATTATGGAAAAACTGATAAATCAATGACAAAAAGAAGACGAAGATTTGACACAATAGCTGAATTTGTTAGATATATTAACGGCAATGCATTAGTTGAAGTTGACAATAAATTAATAGAAATTCCAATTTATTTTATTACCCCATTATATTTAAATAATATTTAATTTTTTTAATTCGTAAGAAATGAGTGACAACGAAGCAGCCAAGAGTCCAGACGATGAATATAAAAAGAAACTAAACAGAATTAAATCAAAAATATGCTATTACAAAAAGAAGCCACAATGTGATGGGGTTGATGCCTATAAAACTAATGGAACTGAAAACGATAAGGAAATAATCGAAAAATTAGAAACTTACCGTTCAATCCTTAAACTGAGTGAAGCAAAAATAAAAGAATTTAATAGAATAAATAAATTGATTGGAAGAGATGAATTTAATAAAGATGAATTTTTAAACTCTATCCAAATTTAATTTTTATTCCTCTTTGACAACATCTCTCTTTCCATCATTACTGCATAACCACATTTTCTCAGTTTTAGTGGTTTGTTATTTTTAGCAAATTCTTGCATCATTTTTATCATTTCCTCCCTTGTTATGATTCGTGGTAAATTTTGAGCTTGTGGGGTATTCATTTATGATAAAAATAAAAATTTGTCATAAACGACCAAAAATATATTTTATCGTTAATGTTTTCAGGTTATTCAATAATTAATTATTTTTGAAGAACTGAAGGTGCTACCATGTTACCATGTGCTACCAGGTTAATTAACTTCTCTGAAAAAATGAGACAACATGACATTTAGACAACAACACAGGAGGAAGGCAGTTATGAATTATTTTTGAAGAACTGAAGGTGCTACCATGTTACCATGTGCTACCAGGTTAATTAACTTCTCTGAAAAAATGAGACAACATGACATTTAGACAACAACACAGGAGGAAGGCAGTTATGAATTATTTTTGAAGAACTGAAGGTGCTACCATGTTACCATGTGCTACCAGGTCATTTAACTTCTCTGAAAAAATGAGACAACATGACATTTAGACAACAACACAGGAAATATATTTTATCGTATATGTTTTGTCATGACTTCATCGTAAATGATTTGTCAAACATGAACGTATATGTTTTGTCATGACTTCATCGTATATGTTTTGTCATGATTTCATCGTATATGTTTTGTCAAACATGAACGTATATGTTTTGTCAAGACTTCTTCATCGTAATGAGTGTAAATGACCCAAAAATAATGTTTAGGTGAAGAGGTGAGATTTCACCTAATTTTTCACCTCATTGAATTTACATGATTTCATCGTAATGAACGTAAATGACCCAAAAATAATGTTTAGGGTAGAAGGGTAGATCTAACCTGATATCTAACCTCATGAATTTTCATGAATTTTATATATTAATGTTTACGTTAAGCCACTTTGTGCCGTCAGTCAGTCAGTCAGTCAGTCAGTCAGTTTAGGAAAGACTTTAGAAAGTTGTTGGAAAATAAGTCCTGGGAAGAGTATTATAAGGCATTTTGTGAAGAATATAGCAACCGCCGGAATTCAGACGGTTGTTTTTTTATACAAAATTCATGCAGGAAATTCTTGAGTTTTGGTTGAAAGAATACGGTCGAGCCACTTTTGGCTCCACCTCAAAACAAGCATTTTATGAGCTTACTAAGGGCATTATAAATGAATTCAAAGGTATTTACATACATCCTGACCTCGTTCATTTTGTTGCTGAATTCAGCAAAAATAATGTTTAGGTGAAGAGGTGAGATTTCACCAGTTTTCTCACCAGTTTTTTCACCCTCGTGAATTTTCATGAATTTCCTTAAGACAGAAGAAATAAAGTTAGTTTTATTTTTATTTTTTATTTTGTATAAAAGATATGATTTCAACAATCGGCACAACAACAATTCAAGCCACGAACGGCGGGACTCTGTCCACAACTACGGCACCAAATTCATTAATCATGAATCCTACGTCAATGTTGGTAGAGATGAAAAACTTCATTCCTTCTTCATATACTTTTGAAACAGAAATACAAAGAATAAAGCAAGAACTTTTAACAAGTAATTTAGACTGTAGTGCGAAAGATGAAACAAATGGAGAGGAGCTATATGAAATGCAAGATATCATAGACCATTTGCCTAAATTACCGGAAGTTCAGCAACAAAAACTAACTATTCCTGAATTCGATGAAATTGAAGTTAAAGTTACTGATTCAGTAGAAATAAAGAAGTTCATACGTAAAGTAAATTATGAATTCCTTGGTTTTCATTGCAACCATAAAGTTATGAACAAAGATTGCGACATGGTTTATAAAAACATTTCTGACATATATAAATCTGAGGAGTTTAAGACTTACGACAACTTTGTTTCATTAGCTGCTGAATGTGTGTGGCAGATAAGAGATAAAGACAGAAGAGGCAAAGTATGGAACAAACAGATAAAACCAACTGCTTCAGATTTAAAGAAAGCCATTGATGCTTTAGTTATTTTAGCTGGTAATGTTTCAATGTATAACGCAAAAATGAATCCGCAATGTTCAAAATGTAAAGCAGCAATGAGGAAATATAACTACTCCGTCAAAGAGATAGAACGTATGAGAAACGACTATGCTGACTTAAAGAAAGAAGTAGAGAAACCAGCAGAAGATAAAATGGACATGTTAGCATTTCTGAACAAAAACTATCCAACAGCTGACGATTTCCTATTATCTGACGTCAAGAAGAAGTATAAAGAAACTTTCGGCATTGTTAAAACTTTTGACATACCGACAGAAGAAATAGAAGCTACGAAATTGTTTAGAATTTCAAATATACATCGTACAATTCATGTAAAACGCTTATAAAATAACTGGGGTGAAAAATTAGGTGAGAAAGGAGGTGAAATCTCACCTCTTCACCTAAAATATCTTTTTATTGAATTCAGCAACAAAATTCTGAGTAAAATAATTTTTAGGGTATGTGTCAAACCGTTGAGTTTTCACAAAATTTAAAAAATAACGTTTACCATGTAAAACGCTTATAAAATAACTGGGGTGAAAAATTAGGTGAGAAAGGAGGTGAAATCTCACCTCTTCACCTAAAATATCTTTTTATTGAATTCAGCAACAAAAATAAAACTAACTTTATTTTTATTTTGTATGTAAAGACAGAAATGACAAACATTGAGTTTGAAACAGTTAGAAAGATTGACAATGACACCAAAGTGGTTAGAATAGGTGATTTAAACGTAAGATACTCAAAGAAATACAACAAATATTCTTTGTCAGACATTATATCTCCATCTGAAAAGAAAACAAGCGACTGGGTTAGAAATGCTTCAACTCAGAAAATTTTGACAAGAAATCCTGAGCTTATGATATCAGTAGCATTTCATGGAACAAGAGCATATCTCATTGACAAAAGTCTTATACCAATAGTTTTGTTATGGTTAGACCCAGTTGTTGGATATAACTTCATAACATATGGTTCATTCGACTCAGAACGTTGCAGTGAAGGCTTACTTTATATCGTTCAGAAACCGAAGGACTTCAATACAAAGAGATATAAGATAGGAAGAACATATAATATAACTCAAAGATATGACAGTACAGTCAATAGAGTCAAGGTTGTGTTCGTTAATGATATGAGAGCTGCTGAAACAGAACTACTTGAAAAGTTTGAGAAAAGGTATGGTGCTCCCATGAAAGGTAAAGAAACGTTTGAAGTAGATGAGATAGATAAAGCTATAAAATTATTTGACGAAGTTGCTGAAAAATACATGTAAAGCGTTTATTTTTGGTCTTTTGTGAAAGTCAGAAAATAAAGTTAGTTTTATTTTGTATGAAATGACAGATATGTCAACAACAGAGAACACAACAACTGCTATCGTTCATGAAGCCATAAATGAAGAATACGAATACATACAATATAACAAACAACTTCGCCTCATTCGTTCGGTCAAAGATGACGTGTAAAAATGCTCTATTCTGCAAACCATCAGACATGAAAGACAAAAACTTTCAAATGAGCATTAAGGATAAATGTGATAGGAAACATAGAAGAATAGACGATAAACAAACATGGTGTTATGTTTTGAAAGAAGAAATGAAAGGATTATATAAACAGGTTGAACCAAATGATAATGATGATTCATTTACTGACGATGAAATACCTGTAAATGATGCTTTATAAAGTATGATTTGAATTCATAACTGCCTTCCTCCTGTGTTGTTGTCTAAATGTCATGTTGTCTCATTTTTTCAGAGAAGTTAATTAACCTGGTAGCACATGGTAACATGGTAGCACCTTCAGTTCTTCAAAAATAATTCATAACTGCCTTCCTCCTGTGTTGTTGTCTAAATGTCATGTTGTCTCATTTTTTCAGAGAAGTTAATTAACCTGGTAGCACATGGTAACATGGTAGCACCTTCAGTTCTTCAAAAATAATTCATAACTGCCTTCCTCCTGTGTTGTTGTCTAAATGTCATGTTGTCTCATTTTTTCAGAGAAGTTAATTAACCTGGTAGCACATGGTAACATGGTAGCACCTTCAGTTCTTCAAAAATAATTCATAACTGCCTTCCTCCTGTGTTGTTGTCTAAATGTCATGTTGTCTCATTTTTTCAGAGAAGTTAATTAACCTGGTGACCTGGTGACCTGGTGACACCTTCAGTTCTTCAAAAATAATTCATAACTGCCTTCCTCCTGTGTTGTTGTCTAAATGTCATGTTGTCTCATTTTTTCAGAGAAGTTAAATGACCTGGTAGCACATGGTAACATGGTAGCACCTTCAGTTCTTCAAAAATAATTCATAACTGCCTTCCTCCTGTGTTGTTGTCTAAATGTCATGTTGTCTCATTTTTTCAGAGAAGTTAATTAACCTGGTAGCACATGGTAACATGGTAGCACCTTCAGTTCTTCAAAAATAATTCATAACTGCCTTCCTCCTGTGTTGTTGTCAAAATGTCATGTTGTCTCATTTTTGGAGCTCAAGCACATTCAATGAACGCGGTACCATGCGAATACAGTCACAAATGGTGGCATGTAATCTTTACCCGAGCCTGTTGGATTTGTTGTGAAAGTGTGTGAATGATTACCTGCGGTTCCACAGAAAATACCTGTGCTTGAATCTACTGGGTCAGTTGTGATATCATATCTATTCATTCCCCACCTATCCGAACCCGCTGCAAGATTTGTATAACCTCTTTTTGTTATTGAATGTGAATGATTACCTGTTGTGTTTGTAGTTCCTGTATGAGTGTGTGGTGGAAGGTTTGCTTCTTTAATTTTCTTTGAACCACCTGTTTGCTTTGAATATCTAGCACAGTATAAGAATTTATCTACAATCTGCTTCCACGTACCAAAACCTAAAACTGTTGATGGATTTGTTGAGTTCATTGACGTATAAATAGAACCAACAGGATATAATGTTTGAAGTATTTCATTTTTCATGCTTGTAATCACATCATTTACTTCCGACTTCTTTGCATAATTTTCATCTACATAAGTTTTATCTGCTTTAAGGTCTAAACATCCTGAAACCCATTCTGTATCAGCTTTAACTTTAAAAGTCTCCAATGTCCATTCATGATACCATTCAACCTTTTCTTTAATTTCATTATCTTTTTCATCAACATAAACCAAATTTGCCTTCTTATTTAACTCACTATCCACGTATTCCTTATCCACCTTCTTCATTATGTCATTTAGGAAACCTTCTATGAATTCCTCATTTAAATTAAATCTTCCAATCTTCAAAACTTTAGGAAATGCATTTAATGCGTAATATCTCTGTTCTTCTGGTGGAATTGATGTTATATCATCCGTTATTCCTTTAATTTTTGAATTCATAAATAAAATTTCTTTTATATTTGATATCACTGCACCACCTTTGCAAACGAATTCGAAATGTTCATTTTTCAATACTATCTCCAAATCTCCATATTTCAACCTTTGCGTTTGTTCTGCCGTCTTTGAATTATATGCATATATGGCGTATGTAATGGTCTGAAGGACCTGGGTGTTTTGCGCCTTAAGTTGCTGTGGTTGCTGTTGTTTAATCATTTATTATGATTTAAAAATAAATATTTAATCCGTTATCTCATCAGCTATTTTTCTATTTGAAATTGCCATAATATTTCATTCATGAATTCTAAATCACAATCAAATAGGTCAGTTATTCTAAATTTAATATTTGATAAATCTTTTGAATGAAGAATAAATGAATTCCCGGATAATTGAAACGGATATGATAAAGAAAATGTGTTTAAGTTGATGGATAAAATGTTTTGTATTGATGGGTAAGAGTTAGGGTCTAATGTTTGATGTGAAAATCTCATTGGGGTATTAACTTTATCACATTTGATTAAAATGAAATTGGAACCAGTGTCAGAATACAAAACATCCCCAACATCTTTTTCAAAATTTAATATCCCCAACAATGAACGAAGATGAGGAGTACAAAATTTAATTTTCAGCGGGAATTTAATAAGGTTATTTATTTCATCAAGTTCAAAAAGTTTATCGGGTTTTGATTTAAAATTTTCTTCATACCATACGATAAATGATTCATTTAAATAACTTAAAATCATGTTAATATCCCATTTCGCTATCACATTATTTATATACATATCATACGTTTTTTCAAGGTCATCTTTAATAAATGATATATAATCTGAAGGGTCTAAAAGAATGGGATTAAATTTACCACTCACAGAAACGAGAGTAACATTATAAATTCCGCTAACTGTTAAATTTAATTCACAGCTATTATTCGAAATAATATTGATAATTGACATTTTTATTACGATTAAAAATATGGTAAAGCGTTATTTTCCAGTGATAAATAAAACTAGAATAAGATTACCTCAAGAATTCATAAATTCAACGAATAAGAAATTCATTCATGTTATAAATTTTAGTGTTTTCAGAAAATATGAGTCAATGTCATATTCATCAACAGGTTATATTTCACTTCATTCAAATTTAGTTCAATCAAACCCATATAATGACCATTTCATAAGATTTTCAGATGGTATTAAAAATGTAATTGATAGATTAAAATATGAACAGATTGACAATATCGAATTTTTGGAATTTTGGTTTAAATATCCCGATGGAAAAAAGATTGAAGTTAAAGATAAAGCTGATACTATAACAAAAACAATTACAATGACCGATCCAGATAGTGGGGAACAAAAAGAAATAAAACAAACGATAGAAACTGGTGAAAGGTCAATTATTATTGATTATGATTCAAAGGATTATTATTCGATAATGTTAATGCTTGAATATTAAATAGCCTTAACAAAGAATTTTTCAAGTGATATTTTATATTCATCAACTATTTTATTATAAATATCATTATATGTTAAATGAAGTTCAGTTGTTGTTCCGTTCTTTGATATCTTAATTGTGCTAATATCCTTTATAGGATTTATTTTTGCAACTGTTCCGCAGCATGAAACCTCATCATCTATGAAAAATTGAATCTTAACGTCTGAATCTTGAACATCACAAAGAATGGCGATAATGTGAATTAATGATTCATAAGGTAAAATAATTAAACCGGATTGATCAATTAAATTTATTATTGAATCATAATTATTAATTATTATATCACGGTAAATTTTCATTAATTCAGAATTAATGTCTATTTTATATGGGTTCTCGATGTTTGATGAAAGAGTGGGGGTATGTTGGATAAGTGGGAATTTCAACAGGTTCTTTACCGGGTTCAGATAAAATGATTGGGTCTCCATTCTCATGGTTTTCTTCATTCTCCTCATTCTTCGGTAAGTCACGAGTTAATAAATTTGGTTGAGTTGCTGACCTTGTTAATTCAGGGCTAACATTAACTTTAACATTTTGAATAATTCGTGATTTATCATCATTTACGTTATAACCAACCGTAATCTCTGCTTTTGCGTTAGTGTTCTTTTGACTAGTGAAACGTCTTCTCATTTATAATCGAATAAAAAAAATATATTTAAACTTTTATTTTGCTGGAATTTTGAATCTATTATTCCCTGTATTTGTTCATGAAGTTGATTTTTAGCATTTTCATCGAAATTAATAGACCGAATATATTCATTAATTGCATTCTTATAATCATCTGATTTCTCAAATTTTCTTTTATCTGATTCCTTAACTAAATCATAAGTTAAACCACGTTGCTGATATAATGGTTTCTTAATTAAATCTTTGAATGCTTGAGATAAAGCACCTGATGCAATTCTTGCTACTATAATTGGTTGGAATTGCTGTTTAAGTTCATCTTTAACATTTGCGAAAACTGGATCGAATAAAGCAACTTTAAAGAATTTCTTAGCTGAAATTTCAGGTCTAATATTTGCATATTGACCATCAAACTGGTTAGAATATCGTGGTAATCCATCCGGTCCCTCTTCAATAGCATTTAATTCTTCATTGAAATAAGAATATGGATTACGACGGTATGAATTAATTGGACCATTTTCACCTTCTCCAATGTATTGTTTAACAGCTTTTCCATTTTCATCAAATTGCATAGGATAACGTTCATTATATACTTTACGTTTAGGATAATCAGATATAGTTAATTTATAACCATTTATGACTTTAATATTACCTTGACCATCAGTAACGAAAACTTCATTATATACCATCAGGTTTTCCATTTGGACCTGTAATGTCTGCTTCGTGTGCTTCCCAATTTGGACCTTGACGTTTGGCATATGCTTGAGCTTCTGGTAATGTTAAAACGTTTCTCATTTGTTTAACATCTTTTGAAGACCAGCAACAATTGAACTAATTCTTTCATTCCATCAGGAACTTTCATAGTTCTATTATATGCACCCTTTTTTGTTTGTCCCTTGTTTTAATGGAACCTGTAGAAAGATTTGCTATTTCTGTCATGTTTAATTATAAATAAAAAATAAAAATTAATTATAAAAAGTTAATCAAATTTAACACTTCCTTTATTTAAATCAACTATTATTTTTCCATGTTCACCTAATTGCTGATATTGTGTGTAAAGTTCATTAATGCTCATTGGTAAATTCACTTGATAAAGCATAACTTTCAACTGTTGACGACTAAACCCACTGAAAATGAAAAGGGTTGATAGATTTGATTTAATGTTTGTGCTTTAATGCTTTGAAGTATTGAACAGCCATAAAGAATGAACACTGAATGTGTCGACATTGAGTTAATAACTGATTAAAATATGATTTCTCATTTGTTATTAGTTTTGATTTCACTGCATCATCTAGAAAAATGAGTGAATGCAAAAATTTCTATCAAAATTTGAAATAGAAAGTGTTTCAAATAATTCATCCCGTTGTTTATCAATAATTTTATCCTCTAATCCTTGCTTTCTTGATTGTATTATATAATTCTTTATACATTAAAAAGTTTTTAAATAATCTTCTGCTTCTTCTTGTGAAAAAAATAATTGGAATTTTGATTAAATGCTTTAAGATTCAAATGTATCATCTGAAGGTGAACCTGAACGGTTTATATAAATTAACACATGTGAATGGGGGGAAGTGTTAGCAATAATGATAATTTGTTTTAATATCGTTAATGTTTTACCTTTATTTTGTTTACTAATTGCTGCAGTGATTGAATTTAAGTAACATTCAGAATATGGAATTTTCATTAATTTTTCCTTAGATAGAGCATTTCTATTATCACTCAATGCTTCATTAATCATATCATCTACGTATGTATTATATACTCCCGCTAATTCTTCATAAGGGGTGGATGAATTTAAATCCATTTAATCAAAAATAAATTTAATAATTTTAAACATTTCTATTCATCATATTTCATCATATGAAAACTTCTATACTGTGGTGGTTGTACCTGTTGAATGATATTTCAAACCTTCATCCGGTGTCCATGTCCAATACGTAGTCCTAGTAAACCAAACCTGAGGAGGATTTGTCACCTTTGAACAGTAAGTGTCATTTACACCCTGAATGATTGGATAAGCTTTCACTTGTACTGTAACTTGTGAGTTGAAAGTTTCTAATCCATCAAAGAATATACCCGCTCCATCACGTTGAACTGGAAAGTGCATAAGAATGAAGTTTGGTCTTTCCATGTTCTAGCTAATGGCGTGCCATCATCATCATTCAGTGTCTAGTTAATGAGTCCTCGTATTCTTCTGTGCATTCATTCACTCCATCTAAATCAGAAGCTTGAAGCATACGTGTAAAGAATATGTCACCCACTGTGGTCATCGCTTGATCGGGGAAGTTTCTGGAATCTATAGTGACCTGAAGACCTCGAAGCATTGGATTTTCTAAAACCGTTCTTTGCATTGCATTCTTCGGAAATGTTAAACAACATCTGTAACATTATGAAGAGCGTATGAGAAATCTGAGCTAATACCTTCAGGAGTGATGCAACCTCCATTTAGTGAACGAACGTCAATATGTTGAGCTGGAATCATGAATGGATCTTCCTTACTGAATAAACGTGGTATTGCTTTAACTGATTCTTCAATTAAAACCGTATCCTGGTGTAATGCATTTATCCTCTAGAACTTCCATCTTTGTGCATGAATAAATAACGTCATCAACTGTTGCGTCAGCAGATGTAGCGGCTAAGCTTGTAATTAATTTGGCAGGAAGTCCGATTTGTTGGAATTTGCGATCATATTTATAACATGATTCATAATCTTTTCATAATTTTCATCAGTTATCTTTTCATAAACGTAATTTTGTAAATCAGCAACTCTTAACGGGTCAACCTGACAAAATACTAAAGTATCCCTGAAAACATAATATTTTAAGAATGATTTCACCAAATGATTTAGGATAATCATCGAACGCCTGAAATGCTAACAAATCATTTACCGGAATAATCATATCAAAAGTGATATCAACTTCTTCATTTGCTTTCTTGAAAACTTCTGAAGGGTCAATATATTTACCACATACTGAGTTATCATATTTTTGAACATTATTATATAACGAATGAACAAACTTTTTAACTTTCCTTTCTGATTTTGGTTTATATGTTGCAAATGCGAAAGATTCACGGGCGCAATCCATCTGAAGATAACCGGCATCACCTCTTTCGGTTTCTACTTCTAATTGTTTAAAGCTTTGATTTGATGATTTGTAACCAACGAATAAACGTATGCATTTAAAAGCGGCATCACATGTGAAAGCTTTATTTGAAACTAGAGTTGCTTTAACTTTGCGTTTAATATATGTGTCACCTAATTGGTTCACATCATGAGCTGGATTTGTAATTCTTAAATGAGTTTGTTTATCATCAAAATATGGAGCATCAGAGTCATAGCATGAACTTTCAAGTTCTCTATAATATCTTCTACCGTCATTCTTTGCGAATATTTCATTTATCTTTTCGAATGAATGAAACACATTTCCATTAATCGGTTTTAGTGTTTGGCACCAAATAGTTTAGTCGTCATTTATTATTAAATAAAAAATCAAAATTAAAAGATGAAAATGAATTTTTAATTTTAATGAAATAATCAACTATGGCTGCAGGTATATTTAAGAAACTGTGGGATAAAGTAAAAAGAGGAGCGAGTAAAGTTTGGGAAACAATGAAGAAAGGAGCAAATTGGATATTTAAGAATAAAGAAGCAATTAGTGACATTGCTGAATCAATAACACCAAAAGCTGCCCCAATAAGAGAAGTTTTAAATAAAGGAGAAAAAGTTTATCAAAGACTACAACCGATACTAAGATAAAAATAATTTTAAAATAATTTATTTTTCCACTATCTACCTCCTATTTTATTAAGTATTCCTTCAGCTATTCCACCAATTGCGTTACCTGCTTGTGCTCCCATCGCCGGATTACCTGCTTTAGTACCTAATACTCCACCTATGATAGTTCCTGCCGTTTTCGCTACTGGTGCCAAAAAGTTTGCAACGGGTTTAATAATCTTTTTATAAACCCAACCTGCAGCTTTCTTAATTCCATCCCATAATTTTTTAAAGAATCCTGCCGCCATTTCTGATTTAATATTAATTAAAAAATATATTTCATCACTTATATTCTAATTTTTATTTAATGATAAATGAAACCGATTTTAAAAATAAATGAAACAGAGGAGGAAGAAATAAATGAAAGTGAAAATGTTCAACAAAAAATAAACGTTGTTAAACCAATTACTGAAATAAAAATTTTTTCATCTGTTGATGAATTTAATAACTATTATGCTAACAATAAAAAATTATTTGAAGAATTGACAACATGTAAATTGAATAAAATGTTTAAAGTTGATGGATTCAAAATTTCAAAAATAAAAGGAGTGGTTAGTTTGAAATCTATTCCTCAATCAAGAATCACCTCATTAATGAAAATAGATGATTTAACAAAAAGAATAGAAGAGATTGAAGAAAGAATGAATCAAATAATTGATTTCATAAATTCAAATATTCATTAGTTTCTTAAAGTTCTATGTTGAACTCATCAAATTCTTTTTAAAGTTTATTTTTTAAAAAATTTTTTATTTTTTATTTCATTATGGTAGTGAATCTTTCATTCAGGATTTAAACAATGTTTAATTAATCGCGGAATATCTGACATCATCTATATATAGCTTCTTTTATAAAAGATGAAATAAATTATTTTAAAATTAATGTGTTTAGTATATAAATATTTTAATGTATCGTCTATATATAGATGCAACAAAAAAAGTCACACAACCCTTCCTATCCTACTACTCATAATTTATGAATTTTGATTAAGTCTATTGATGAGAAATGATGTGATAACAATAGAAAAAGCTAGGTCAATAGGGATTTCGTCAGGATGCCTATAATTTAAAAGAATTTTTATCCCAATCACTCTATGTCATGCTTAATTCTTTGAATTTAGATTAAGCATGTCGGTTTGGGCAATTCTTTTGCATTTTTGACAATACTTTTGGAAAATTTTCTGAGTAGTATATGTGGAAGGGTTTAGTGACTTTTTTTGTTACATCTATATATAGACGATGCATTAAAATATATTTATTTATAAATCATTAAAAAATTAACATTAATTTTAAAATAATTTATTTTTTTATCTTTTATAAAAGAAGCTATATATAGATGATGTCAGATATTCCGCGATTAATTAAACATTGTTTAAATCCTGAATGGGTTAAACTTCAATTTAAAAATGAAGATTGTGAATTATTAAATGAATATGAAAGCCAAAATAAGCTAATGAGGTATAAATATAATGATAAAGAATATTTAATTTCATGGAATCAATGGAGTCATAATCAAAGACCTCATAAACGAGAAGAAGAAATTGAAAATAATGAAATGGAAATCATTGATGACATTAAAGAGGATGGAATTCCTAAATTTTGTAAAAAACCTTTAGAACTAAGTTAGGAGCATATAAACGTAGAGTATTAAATCCTGAATACATAAAACATTTATTTAAAAAGGAAGACTGTGAATTATTAAACGTTAATGAATATGAAAATGCTAAATCAAAATTGAAATATAAATATATTGGAAGTGATGAAAGGTGTAAAGATAAAGATAAAGTTTATTCAGTTTCATATAATAACTGGCACACGTTAGGGATAAGAAAACATTTAGGAGATTATGGTAAAAGTTCTGAATTCTTTAAATCTAGTATGTACGAGAGAGTAAAAGAAATTAGAAATAATTATTTTCATGAATGAAAAATAAATTTTAAAAATTCATGTCTTACATTTTTTGAATAATTTATTTTTTTTTTTAATGAAAATGAGTGGATCAAGATTCGTAACCGTCAATCAATTAATGGATGCTCTTTCACCAATTCTTGAAAATGTTAAACAAGTAGATGTTTATTTCGATGATTATGTAGAAAGTTTATATTATAAAGGTAAGTTTAATATTAAACCTATTGCTTTTGCATTTGATAATAAATTAATTGAAAATGCAAAAAATTTGGGAATTAATTCCGAATATTGAATTTATAACAAATATTAATGATAAATGGTTTAAACGAATTCCAACCACAAAAGTTCTTTGTAAATTAATGATCAAAACTGAGGAAAAAGAATTTAACGGGTTTAAATATCATCCAAATAAAGTTTCAGAACTAGAAAATGAAAAACTTCAGAAAAAATTAAACGATAGACTTTCAAATGATCGTATTGAAAAAATAAATAAACTAGCAGAAGTTGCATTTAATAATGAAATATTTGATGAATATAACCTTGAACTCAGTGATGGACTTTAAGTCCTGGGCACTTTATGCCTTGGGCTTTAAGGACCCGGGCTCAACGAGTCATGATTTATGATATCAATTATTTGATTCATTCTTTCTTCAATAATTTCTATTCTTTTTGTTAAATCATCTATTTTCATTAATGAGGTGATTCTTGATTGAGGAATAGATTTCAAACTAACCACTCCTTTTATTTTTGAAATTTTGAATCCATCAACTTTAAACATTTTATTCAATTTACATGTTGTCAATTCTTCAAATAATTTTTTATTGTTAGCATAATAGTTATTAAATTCTTCAACAGATGAAAAAATTTTTATTTCAGTAATGGGTTTAACAATGTTTATTTTTTGTTGAACATTTTCACTTTCATTTATTTCTTCCTCCTCTGTTTCATTTATTTTTAAAATCGGTTTCATTTATCATTAAATAAAAATTAAAATATAAGTGATGAAATATATTTTTTAATTAATATTAAATCAGAAATGGCGGCAGGATTCTTTAAAAAATTATGGGATGGAATTAAGAAAGCTGCAGGTTGGGTTTATAAAAAGGTTATTAAACCTGTTGCAAACTTTTTGGCACCAGTAGCGAAAACGGCAGGAACTATCATAGGTGGAGTATTAGGTACAAAAGCAGGTAATCCGGCGATGGGAGCACAAGCAGGTAACGCAATTGGTGGAATTGCTGAAGGAATACTTAATAAAATAGGGGTAGATAGTGGAAAAAAAATAAATATTATTTTTATCTTAGTATCGGTTGTAGTCTTTGATAAACTTTTTCTCCTTTATTTAATATTTCTCTTATTGGGGCAGCTTTTGGCGTTATTGATTCAGCAACGTCACTAATTGCTTCTTTATTCTTAAATATCCAATTTGCTCCTTTCTTCATTGTTTCCCAAACTTTATGCGCTCCTCTTTTTACTTTATCCCACAGTTTCTTAAAGAATCCTGCAGCCATAGTTGATTATTTCATTAAAATTAAAAATTCATTTTCATCTTTTAATTTTGATTTTTTATTTAATAATAAATGACGACTAACTATTTGGTGCCAAACACTAAACCGATTAATGGAAATGTGTTTCATTCATTCGAAAAGATAAATGAAATATTCGCAAAGAATGACGGAAGAAGATATTATAGAGAACTTGAAAGTTCATGCTATGACTCTGATGCTCCATATTTTGATGATAAACAAACTCATTTAAGAATTACAAATCCGGCTCATGATGTGAACCAATTAGGTGACACATATATTAAACGCAAAGTTAAAGCAACTCTAGTTTCAAATAAAGCTTTCACATGTGATGCCGCTTTTAAATGCATGCGTTTATTCGTTGGTTATAAATCATCAAATCAAAGCTTTAAACAATTAGAAGTAGAAACCGAAAGAGGTGATGCCGGTTATCTTCAGATGGATTGCGCCCGTGAATCTTTCGCATTTGCAACATATAAACCAAAATCAGAAAGGAAAGTTAAAAAGTTTGTTCATTCGTTATATAATAATGTTCAAAAATATGATAACTCAGTATGTGGTAAATATATTGACCCTTCAGAAGTTTTCAAGAAAGCAAATGAAGAAGTTGATATCACTTTTGATATGATTATTCCGGTAAATGATTTGTTAGCATTTCAGGCGTTCGATGATTATCCTAAATCATTTGGTGAAATCATTCTTAAATATTATGTTTTCAGGGATACTTTAGTATTTTGTCAGGTTGACCCGTTAAGAGTTGCTGATTTACAAAATTACGTTTATGAAAAGATAACTGATGAAAATTATGAAAAGATTATGAATCATGTTTATAAATATGATCGCAAATTCCAACAAATCGGACTTCCTGCCAAATTAATTACAAGCTTAGCCGCTACATCTGCTGACGCAACAGTTGATGACGTTATTATTTCATGCACAAAGATGGAAGTTTTAGAGGATAAATGCATTACACCAGGATACGGTTTAATTGAAGAATCAGTTAAAGCAATACCACGTTTATTCAGTAAGGAAGATCCATTCATGATTCCAGCTCAACATATTGACGTTCGTTCACTAAATGGAGGTTGCATCACTCCTGAAGGTATTAGCTCAGATTTCTCATACGCTCTTCATAATGTTACAGATGTTGTGTTAGCATTTCCGAAGAATGCAATGCAAAGAACGGTTTTAGAAAATCCAATGCTTCGAGGTCTTCAGGTCACTATAGATTCCAGAAACTTCCCCGATCAAGCGATGACCACAGTGGGTGACATATTCTTTACACGTATGCTTCAAGCTTCTGATTTAGATGGAGTGAATGAATGCACAGAAGAATACGAGGACTCATTAACTAGACCACTGAATGATGATAATGGCACACCATTAGCTAGAACATGGAAAGACCAAACTTCATTCTTATGCACTATTCCAGTTCAACGTGATGGAGCGGGTATATTCTTTGATGGATTAGAAACTTTCAACTCACAAGTTACAGTACAAGTGAAAGCTTATCCAATCATTCAGGGTGTAAATGACACTTACTGTTCAAAGGTGACAAATCCTCCTCAGGTTTGGTTTACTAGGACTACGTATTGGACATGGACACCGGATGAAGGTTTGAAATATCATCCAACAGGTACACCACCACAGTATAGAAGTTCATATGATGAAATATTGATGAATAGAAATGTATAAAATTATAAATTTATTTTTGATTAAATGGATTTAAATTCTGAAGAATTAGCGGGAGTATATAATACATACGTAGATGATATGATTAATGAAGCATTGAGTGATAATAGAAATGCTCTATCTAAGGAAAAATTAATGAAAATTCCATATTCTGAATGTTACTTAAATTCAATCACTGCAGCAATTGGTAAACAAAATAAAGGTAAAACATTAACGATATTAAAACAAATTATCATTATTGCTAACACTTCCCCCATTCACATGTGTTAATTTATATCAACCGTTCAGGTTCACCTTCAGATGATACATTTGAATCTTTAAAGCATTTAATCAAAATTCCAATTATTTATTTATCACAAGAAGAAGCAGAAGATTATTTAAAAAACTTTTTAATGTATAAAGAATTATATAATACAATCAAGAAGCAAGGATTAGAGGATAAAATTATTGATAAACAACGGGATGAATTATTTGAAACACTTTCTATTTCAAATTTTGATAGAGAATTTTTGCATTCACTCATTTTTCTAGATGATGCGGTGAAATCAAAACTAATAACAAATGAGAAATCATATTTTAATCAGTTATTAACTCAATGTCGACACATTCAGTGTTCATTCTTCATGGCTGTTCAATACTTCAAAGCATTAAGCACAAACATTAAATCAAATCTATCAACCTTTTCATTTTCAGTGGTTTTAGTCGTCAACAGTTGAACGTTATGCTTTATCAAGTGAATTTACCAATGAGCATTAATGAACTTTACACACAATATCAGCAATTAGGTGAACATGGAAAAATAATAGTTGATTTAAATAAAGGAGTGTTAAATTTGATTAACTTTTTATAATTAATTTTTATTTTTTATTTATAATTAAACATGACAGAAATAGCAAATCTTCTACAGGTTCCATTAAAACAAGGGACAAACAAAAAGGGTGCATATAATAGAACTATGAAAGTTCCAGACGGAATGAAAGAATTAGTCCATATTGTTGCTGGTCTTCAAAAGATGTTAAACAAATGAGAAACGTTTTAACATTACCAGAAGCTCAAGCATATGCCAAACGTCATGGTCCAAATTGGGAAGCACACGAAGCAGACATTACAGGTCCAAATGGAAAACCTGATGGTATAAATGAAGTTTTCGTTACTGATGGTCAAGGTAATATTAAAGTCATAAATGGTTACAAATTAACTGTATCTGATTATCCTAAACGTAAAGCATATAATGAATGTTATCCTATGCAATTTGATGAAAATGGAAAAGCTGTTAAACAATACATTGGAGAAGGTGAACATGGTCCAATTAATTCATACCGTCATAATCCATATTCTTATTTCAATGAAGAATTAAACGCTATTGAAGAGGGACCGGATGGATTACCACGATATGTTAATCAGTTTGATGGTCAATATGCAAATTTGAGACCTGAAATTCCAGCTAAGAAATTCTTTAAAGTTGCTTTATTCGATCCAGTGTTCAATGAACAGAAAGAAGCAATGAAAGCAGAATTTAAACCAATTCAAGTGGCAAGAATTTCTTCATCTTCACTTTCAGAAGCGTTCAAGGAATTGATAAAGAAACCACTTTATTCTCAACAAGGTTATAACTTTGATTTAATTAAAGAAAGTGATAGACGTAAATTAGAAAAATCAGATGGTTTTAAGAATGCATGTAATGAAATGATTAAAGATATTGTAAATGATAAAATAAGACTGGAAGAAACTCAAAGCAATATCAATAACATAATTGGTGCAGTTACAAAGAAAGTATAAGCAAACAATGATGAACCTTGGGATATTACCGTAACAACTAAATAAAACTTTAAATATATTTTTCTTTTTTTATTCAATTATAAATGAGAAGACGTTTCACAAGTCAAAAGAACACTAACGCAAAAGCAGAGATTACGGTTGGTTATAACGTAAATGATGATAAATCACGAATTATTCAAAATGTTAAAGTTAATGTTAGCCCTGAATTAACAAGGTCAGCAACTCAACCAAATTTATTAACTCGTGACTTACCGAAAAGAGAATGAGAGAATGAAGAAAACCATGAGAATGGAGACCCAATCATTTTATCTGAACCCGGTAAAGAACCTGTTGAAATTCCCACTTATCCAACATACCCCCCACCTCTTTCATCAAACATCGAGAACCCAGGAATCTACGATTACAGTCGCAATGCGCCATATAAAATAGACATTAATTCTGAATTAATGAAAATTTACCGTGATATAATAACTGATAATTATGATTCAATAATAAATTTAATTGATCAATCCGGTTTAATTATTTTACCTTATGAATCATTAATTCACATTATCGCCATTCTTTGTGATGTTCAAGATTCAGACGTTAAGATTCAATTTTTCATAGATGATGAGGTTTCATGCTGCGGAACAGTTGCAAAAATAAATCCTATAAAGGATATTAGCACAATTAAGATATCAAAGAACGGAACAACAACTGAACTTCATTTAACTTATAATGATATTTATAATAAAATAGTTGATGAATATAAAATATCACTTGAAAAATTCTTTGTTAAGGCTATTTAATATTCAAGCATTAACATTATTGAATAATAATCCTTTGAATCATAATCAATAATAATTGACCTTTCACCAGTTTCTATCGTTTGTTTTATTTCTTTTTGTTCCCCACTATCTGGATCGGTCATTGTAATTGTTTTTGTTATAGTATCAGCTTTATCTTTAACTTCAATCTTTTTTCCATCGGGATATTTAAACCAAAATTCCAAAAATTCGATATTGTCAATCTGTTCATATTTTAATCTATCAATTGCATTTTTAATACCATCTGAAAATTTTATGAAATGGTCATTATATGGGTTTGATTGAACTAAATTTGAATGAAGTGAAATATAACCCGATGATGAATATGACATTGACTCATATTTTCTGAAAACACTAAAATTTATAACATGAATGAATTTCTTATTCGTTGAATTTATGAATTCTTGAGGTAATCTTATTCTAGTTTTATTTATCACTGGAAAATAACGCTTTACCATATTTTTAATCGTAATAAAAATGTCAATTATCAATATTATTTCGAATAATAACTGTGAATTAAATTTAACAGTTAGCGGAATTTATAATGTTACTCTCGTTTCTGTGAGTGGTAAATTTAATCCCATTCTTTTAGACCCTTCAGATTATATATCATTTATTAAAGATGACCTTGAAAAAACGTATGATATGTATATAAATAATGTGATAACGAAATGGGATATTAACATGATTTTAAGTTATTTAAATGAATCATTTATCGTATGGTATGAAGAAAATTTTAAATCAAAACCTGATAAACTTTTTGAACTTGATGAAATAAATAACCTTATTAAATTTCCGCTGAAAATTAAATTTTGTACTCCTCATCTTCGTTCATTGTTGGGGATATTAAATTTTGAAAAAGATGTTGGGGATGTTTTGTATTCTGACACTGGTTCCAATTTCATTTTAATCAAATGTGATAAAGTTAATACCCCAATGAGATTTTCACATCAAACATTAGACCCTAACTCTTACCCATCAATACAAAACATTTTATCCATCAACTTAAACACATTTTCTTTATCATATCCGTTTCAATTATCCGGGAATTCATTTATTCTTCATTCAAAAGATTTATCAAATATTAAATTTAGAATAACTGACCTATTTGATTGTGATTTAGAATTTATGAATGAAATATTATGGCAATTTCAAATAGAAAAAATAGCTGATGAGATAACAGATTAAATATTTATTTTTAAATCATAATAAATGATTAAACAACAGCAACCACAGCAACTTAAGGCACAGACCATTACTTACGCCACATATGCATATAATTCAAAGACGGCACAACAAACACAAAGGTTGAAATATGGAGATTTGGAGATAGTATTGAAAAATGACCATTTCGAATTCGTTTGCAAAGGTGGTGCAGTGATATCAAATATAAAAGAAATTTTATTTATGAATTCAAAAATTAAAGGAATAACGGATGATATAACATCAATTCCACCAGAAGAACAAAGATATTACGCATTAAATGCATTTCCTAAAGTTTTGAAGATTGGAAGATTTAATTTAAATGAGGAATTCATAAAAGGTTTCCTAAATGACATAATGAAGAAAGCAGATAAGGAATACGTGGATAGTGAGTTAGAGGAGAAAGCAGATAAGGGACTTGTGGATAGTGAATTAATGAAGAAGGCAGATAAGGAATATGTTAATGAAAAAGATAATGAAATTATAGAAAGGGTTGAATGGTATCATGAACGGACATCGAAGATTCTTAAAACTAAAGCTGATACAGGATGGGTTTCAGGATGTTTAGACCTTAAAGCAGATAAAACTTATGTTAACAATGAGTTAATGAAGAAAGCGGATAAAACATATGTGGATAGTGAGTTAAATAAGAAAGCTAATATATCATTTGTTAATGAAGAAATAAAACAATCAGAGGTCTATTTTACTCCACCATTTTTAAATTTTATGAAATCATCAGATAAAACCTTTGATATAGATTCTTTTGAATGGATATGTTTCGATGGAGTGACCATGTATTTATTTTATACAGCTGGAGTGCTTTATTATTTTAAAACAAATGATTTTCAAAACTATGAATCATTTACTCCATCTGTTTTGAATCCTGATACACGAAAGCCAATCATTAATCCAAGAATTTTATATGTTGAATATAATAACGGTAAATTTATGGAATGATAACGGTTGAAGATGATTTTTGCCCTTGTTATTCATTCGATTGTATCCAATGGTTCAAATGTAATTTAAATCAAGATGCTAAATTTAAATTTCCAAATAATCCTATTAGATGCGTTAATAATAAATGGGTACTAATTTATGAAGTCAATCAAATTTTCATTAGTGAGGATGGGATAAATTATTATATGTTTAGTATGATGTCATCAGATTTGAAAATTGATTATACAAGTAAGTGGTATTGCTTTAACAACATGTATTTTATCCTACAAAATGATAAAATTTATAGATCATCTTCAATACCACAAGGTCAATTTGAACAAATTTTTCAAGCTGATGGAGACATTGAAGCTTTATGTTATGGATCAAATGTTTATGTTCTCGTTTCAGGTGAAATGGTCTATTCATATCCTGTAAGTTATAACAGACATATTTATTTATCACAGGATTTATCAAATTGGGAATTGGTTTATTCATTCACTCCAAAACTTACTCAAAATTATAGATTTACAAATTTATTTTATATTGATGGGTATTTCATTGCTTTAGGATGTGGTGATTTAGTAAATATCAGTAGTGATGGAAGAAACTGGTCTGAAATCACAAAATTTCAAGATGTTAGAAAAGCAATTTTCAAAAATAATACGTTAATATTGATAACAAGACCAGTTTTAAATACTCACCTAAATTCAATATTATATAATAAATTCAATATTCATAATGGATTAAATACAATTCTTGAGATGATTTACCCCATTGGTTCTATTTATACGTCAATGAATTCAACAAATCCAGCAACAGTTCTGGGTTTTGGTATGTGGGAACAAATAGTTGACAGGTTTTTGTATTGTGCAAACTCTTCAAAGGAAACAGGAGGAAGTAAAACGATTACAGGTGAAAATTTACCTGCACACAGTCACTACATAGATTTAAGTACATCTCAAGCGGGTTGGCATAAGCATAGATATTGGGATTGGTCAGCAATGACAAAAGGTAAAGGATATGATGTTAAAGACAACGTTAAGTTTGCCATAAATTGTTACTGGAGTGACACTCAGGGAGAAGGAAACCATACACATCGCGTTTCAGGATATACACAAACAACGGGACAAAGTAAAGATTACATGCCACCATTTATGACTGTATTCGCATGGTATAGAGTTCAATGAACGCTCGTCGACATAAGATTTTATAAATTGCACATTTGACGTAAATTCATTTCCCCAGTTATTCAATAATTAATTATTTTTGAAGAACTGAAGGTGTCACTATGTCACTCAGTGTCACTCGGTTAATTAACTTTTATGAAAAAATGAGACAACATGACATTTTGACAACATCACTGGAAATTTGATGCAACCCAAAAATAAAGTTAGTTTTAAAATTATTTTTATTTATTTTTTTATTTTGTATGTAAGAAAAGAAATGTCAGTCGAAGCAAAAACATTCACGAACAAATCAAATGGCGAAACATTCACGAAAGGCACTTATAACGATATTGAAGTCTTACGTAGAGACAAGGATGGTTACATTAATGCAACAAAGATGTGTCAGCAGTTTAGAAAAGACTTTAGAAAGTTGTTGGAAAATAAGTCCTGGGAAGAGTATTATAAGGCATTTTGTGAAGAATATAGCAACCGCCGGAATTCCGACGGTTGGTTTTTATACAAAATTCATGCGGGAATTCCTGATGAAATCAAACAGGTTAGAGGAACGTATGTAGACCCAAGACTTATAAACTATATAGCAATGTGGGCTTCTCCAAAATATTGCATAGCAGTTGGAAAAATTATGGACTCCATAGACAAGAAAGTTCATGAGAAATTAGATGAAGAAGAACTCGAAGATACAGTAGAGAATGCTAAACATTTGTTTGAAGAAGTTGGAAAAATGTGTGAAAAACAATTAGAACATGAACGTGAGATATGTTATGGTTGTAGAGATTCTCCATACGAACTAGACCAATGGGAACAAGAAGATTTAAAGAGAGAATTTAGAGAATATGAACTCGCTAAGATAGCATTAGAAACTGCAGAAAAGAAGTTAAAAGTTTGGGGTCGTTTTGTACAAAAATATTGTGAGTAAATGAACCATTTATTTTTGTCATAAACGACCAAAAATATATTTTATCGTTTATGGTTTCAGGTTATTCAATAATTAATTATTTTTGAAGAACTGAAGGTGTCACTATGTCACTCAGTGTCACTCGGTTAATTAACTTCTATGAAAAATGATGACAACATGACATTTTGACAACATCACTGGAAATATGTGTTATCGTTAATGTTTACGTTAATGGTTTAAGGTTATTCAATAATTAATTATTTTTGAATAACTGAAGGTGTCACTATGTCACTCAGTGTCACTATTTAACTTCTCTGAAAAAATGAGACAACATGACATTTAGACAACAGTCCTGGAAATTTGATGCAGCCCAAAAATAAAGTTAGTTTTAAAATTATTTTTATTTTTTATTCCTAGATAAATGACAGCAACAAACAACAACAGCAACTATATCGTTTCTGATGAAAAAGTTATTGATTCATTAGCTGAGGAATTAGTTGTGGCAGAAACTAAAACCCTCAACGAAAGAATTGGTGAAAACAAGATTGATTTACATAACTACCTCAAACACGATGGAGGAAGAGGAAGGAAAACTGGTATGGCTTTATTAGTAAATAAAATTCAAATTTAACGATTATAGATGTTGATATCAATAAATCATACAATGATGAACTTAAAGAAACAGTTAGAAAAGACATTTTATCAAAACTTTCGGATAAAGATGTTATCGTTAAAACCGCTTCAGGAGGTCTTCACATTTATTGTAACACTAATTTCTTCTATTCAACCTCGAACAGAATGATTAAATGCTATTCCTGCAATGATTACGATATTGATATAATGACTTCTATGGATGATTCAAAGCGTTCTTTAGTAGTTATGGCTGATTCAAGAGTTCGCAAGAATGCAACAGAACCAATCAAAACATACTCATTCATTCGTGGAAGTTACGACTCGACCATAACCAGAACAGTGAATGATATATTAAATGATTTGAATATTAAGGTAAGAGTTGAACAGAAGAACGAAGAAATAAAGACTATCATGAATGAAAACAAAGATGTAAACATTGACGATAAACTTGCCCAGAGCATAGTTGATGGTATTAGTGATTTTGAAGTACATAATGACGGTGGAAATATGAATTTAGAAAAAGAAGTTACATTATTCACACTGTTTCAAGCAATTAATTCGTTACCTAATCATTTAATTAATGAAGCATACGATAACGTTTATAACTTTGCAGCTTAACAGAAAATGCAAAAAGTAATTTTGAAAAAGCACGTAATAGATATGCACATTTAATGACTTCTCCATTTGTTTTAGTGAAGATTCTAAAACTATATCAAAAGGAATATTATGATGAATATGTTTTGCCTTTATTACGTAAGCCAAAAATAACATTTGATATCAAACTTGATGACTCGTTTTTGATAACAGATATTAGACGCAAGGCTGAAAATCATCAGTATAAAAACAGTTCTGAAGTAATTGAGGATTTATCACGTGTAATCCGTTTTGTAGATTGTGGAAATAAATATTTCATTCAAAAAGATTACAACATACACGACAAAATGAATCAAATATCATTCGTTCTTCAATCAAACATGAAAGAGTCACTCAAAATGATTAAATTATTTAAAGAAGAAGGTAAAACCATAACAGCATGGGATGTACTACTAAATCAATTGTCTTCATTAACCGTTAAGGGTGTTTGCTTTAAATCTGATTCTCCAGATGTTTTCTCAACGTTTCATGGTTATAAATACAACATTCTTGAAAAGCCTGATTACTCAAAAATTGAGATGTTTATGAATTTCATTAAAGAAGCCATTTGTGATAATAACGATGAAGTGTATAAATACCTTCTCGGCTGGATTGCATCAATGATTCAACATCCTGGAATCAAGAATGAAACAGCAATTATTTTGAAAGGACTTCAGGGAACAGGTAAAAACAGATTTACAGACATTATTTCTGAACTTCTCGCTGGTTATTCATGCAAAAACATTACCGAAATAGGTGAGCTAACGGGTAATTTCAATTCAGTAGTTGAGAATAAAATGTTTCTTGTACTTAATGAACTCAAGAATGTAGGTGAAGATAGACTCGCAAACTTCAACGCTTTGAAATCAATTATAACGGATAATGAGATTAGAATTAATGAAAAGAATCAACCCAGAAGAACAGCACAGAACGTTGCAAACTTCATTTTCGTAACTAACAACGTCTACCCTGTCAAAATTGAAGTTGGAGACAGAAGATACGTAGTTTTAAGGGTTAATGGTAAATTTAAGGGTCAATTTGATTACTTCAAGAATTTAATGGATTCATGCACAAAGGAATTTTATGATAACCTTTTAACATATTTTATGCAATATGACCTTTCATCATTTAATGTACGAATCATACCGATGACTGAAGCCAAACAAGATTTAATTGAATTATCAACAAATCCTTTAGATGTATGGATAAATACACATTATGATGAATTGTGTGCAGGTATGACATGTAAAAATGCTCTATTCTGCAAACCATCAGACATGAAAGACAAAAACTTTCAAATGAGCATTAAAGATAAATGTGATAAGAAACAGAGAAGAATAGATGGTAAACAAACATGGTGTTATGTTTTGAAAGAAGAAATGAAAGGATTATATAAACAGGTTGAACCAAACGATAATGAGGATTCATTTACTGACGATGAAATACCTGTAAATGAGCCGCTAAGCGGCGAGACCTGAAGGTCTAGCTTTATAAAGTATGATTTGAATTTATTTTTGCATTAATCCTGCTGTGTTGTCAAAATGTCATGTTGTCTCATTTTTTCAGAGAAGTTAAATAACCGAGTGACACATGGTGACATAGTGACACCTTCAGTTCTTCAAAAATAATTCATAAATGCCTTCCTCATTAATCCTGCTGTGTTGTCAAAATGTCATGTTGTCTCATTTTTTCAGAGAAGTTAAATAACCGAGTGACACATGGTGACATAGTGACACCTTCAGTTCTTCAAAAATAATTAATTATTGAATAACCTAAAAACATTAACGATAAAATAAGTGATAACAAATTTTTATTTTTATCATAAATGAATACCCCACAAGCTCAAAATTTACCACGAATCATAACAAGGGAGGAAATGATAAAAATGATGCAAGAACATGTTAAAAATAACAAACCACTAAAATTGAGAAAATGTGGTTATGCAGTAATGATGGAAAGAGAGATGTTGTCAAAGAGGAATAAAAATTAAATTTGGATTGAGTTTAAAAATTCATCTTTATTAAATTCATCTCTTCCAATCAATTTATTTATTCTATTAAATTCTTTTATTTTTGCTTCACTCAGTTTAATGATTGAACGATAAGTTTCTAATTTTTCGATTATTTCTTTATCGTTTTCAACCCCACCATTGCGACTTCTTTTTGTAATAGCATATTTTTGATTTAATTCTGTTTAGTTTCTTTTTATATTCATTGTCTGGACTCTTGACTGCTTTGTTGTCACTCATTTCTTACGAAATAAAAAAATTAAATATTATTTAAATATAATGGAGTAATAAAATAAATCGGAATTTCTATTAATTTATTGTTAACTTCAACTAATGCATTGCCGTTAATATATCTAACAAATTCAGCTATTGTGTCAAATCTTCGTCTTCTTTTTGTCATTGATTTATCAGTTTTTCCATAATCGAGATGAATTAAAACTTTATTTCCTTGTTTAAAATTCATGAGCCCCGAATTAATTTGTTCACGTTTAACATCATTTAACCTTTCCATTTGCTTTCTAATATATTCCCATTCTTTTGAAATATCATTTTTCATTTCCACTGGTTTCATGTTTATAGTTCTATGCCATGTATTATTGTAATAATATACTAACTGCTGTATGATGGAGTCATGATTTCCATCCCAGTATATCTGACCGTTAACCCCTAACGCATCTCTAAGAGTTCTCATTACCATCAACTATTTTATTATGAAACGTATATGGAGAGGATGAAAAGTAAAAATTAATTTGTGGGAAATAATGAGCCATAGCTGCCTGAAATCCTTTATCACCATCACCCCTTATATTATCTACTCTTTCATGATCTAGTAAGTATTGTATAGCTCTTCTTGTTTCCTGTTCTGTTTTCCCTTTCACCGGAATGCAATATAAATATCTAGTGTTAATGTTAATGGCAAATAAATAAGTAACGTTTCCTTTTGAATATTCCAGATGATCGATTTCGTATGAATATGGATATAGTGCAAATGAAGGGCGACTAAATTTTTCCTTTAACGGTTGAATTTTTGGGTCAATTGGTTTATTTAATATCTTGAAATCCTTTTTAAAATCTTTTTGCTTCTTTAATGTTTGAAATGGATATAATAAAGTGAATGATGAAGGATTAACTGAAGGAGGAGGTACTACTGTTTGGAGGTTTTGGTGTTGTAAGTGGTTTAATTTTATCTGCTTTGATTTTGGATTTCATTCCCCTTCATTAATTCTGGATGTATTCTATTCATTTGTTTTAAATATGCTGTATATAAAGGTTTGATATACTTTCCCGCTTCGAGTTTATGTTGAAGGATGAATTCCAAAAGTTGATCTTCATTTAAAAGTCGGGCTGAATATGGTTTAACTAATGAATCATAAATTAAAGCTTGTGCATCATTTATGGTCTGAAGGACCTGGGTGTTTTGTACCATTTGTTTTTGTTCCTTTGGCTTTTGCGGCTCGGGATTATATAATTTATATAATTCATCAATATCTTCTTCTGTTAATACTTTATTTTTGAAATCTTTCAACTGTTTAAGCTGTGATTTAGTTTTTCCCTTTGTATATTCATTATTTTTAATTTTGTCTTTAATTTCAGAAATTATTTTATCATGATATTTCAAAATTTCATTTTTATAATACGAATAATAATAATCCATATCATCACCCGTTATATTTTTATTATATTTTTGGAGATATGCTTTTAAATCATAATAATCAAGAAAATTTTGATTAAATACTAAATCATCAATTAAAATTTTTAAATCTGTGTTATCCATTTATATAAAAATAAAATAAATGTTTTAAGGGTGCCCACCTCTTTGAATCATAGTACAAAACCATTATTAACGGTTCCTTTTGTCTCTTCTGTGGCATTTCATTAAATAAATGGCATACAACATCCATTTTCACAACATACAGCCTTAGTGTGTGCTCCTGTTAATGCAGTCTTACCAATTGTTAAGCGAGTCATTGACCCGTTTTTAAGTTGTAAATTAATATTCTGACCATCAAATATCACTTTATCATTTATTATATCCAAATAATTTTTAGGTGTTAATTGTTTATTTTGTCGTAAACTAACACCTTTCATTTTTTGTGCAATCTTTTTAAAATCACTTCCATCAATTGAACCGTTGAATGAAGTATAACACTTAGGGCATAAAGCAACCATGTTATCACCTTGTTTCTCAATTGCTAAACCCAATAACTTCTTCTCATGTGCTTTTTCTTCAGCTTTATTCTTTAATTTAGGTTTAAATTTCTCATCAAAACAGAAGAAATCAAAAGGTGCGAATTTGTAAATGTTTTTATCATAAAATTGTTTATCGGTTACAATTGCTTGAAATGCTTGAGTGTTAGGAAGACTTGGATCGCCAGCAATAGCCCAATAAGATGAATCAGTATCACCTTCAATGAAATGAAAACGATTAACATCCATGCATTTATACATAAAATCATAAATGAAAACCAAATACCAGTATTTAGCATTATCTAAAGTGAAGAATGCCTCTTGTAAACATGTATCACATCTATAAAATCTATCTTTAAGCATCACTTGATACGTATCTTCACCTATTTCTCTTATGTTTTTAAACTTATTTGACATACATGCAACGCGTGCCTTCTGTGCATTCATTATTTTAGTCTTTGCGTAATTTTGTGTATTCATTGCATCGTAACCATATGATCCATTAAGTGAAATCTTGCAAAATAAACTTTTTCCTTTATTTCCTTCTAATTCAGCCTTTTGTCTTTCGTTCATAAATTCGTTCGCAAATTCATTAAAACAAGTATTTTTCGTAAATGTTAAAATTGATTGAATGTCATCAATGATAAAATGAAATCTGTCTATTAGATACCAAAGATAATAAGAAGAAAATGGTTGATATTGGTTGTGTGTTGATGCTAACTGAGTTAATTTCTCTGTTTCTGGTCAACTGGTAGATTGTTTGATTTCATGTAATTATACATAAAACTGCCAATTGTTTTTTCATCTGTGATAATCTAAGTTTCTTATTATCGGTAAAAGTTTATGTAATCATTAATGTATGTTTTCATCAATGTGACCCTTTACTTCAGCCACGATAAGTTATTTTCTTTCTAATAATTCCCAGTGCTTTGCTTTCTTTGTTGCTGTATCACAAATGATACACCATTCAATCTTCCCGGCATATACATTTTATGGTCAGTATATTGAATGAAATCATGAGGATTAGATGAAAATGATGAAGGAATAAATGAATTAAAGTCAACTCCAACAAATGAGTCATAATGTTGGTGGTGTCCTCATTTGATACAGTTTTAGTTTCTGGATTATATGAAAGTTTATTAATGTGCGTGATTCCTTTAAGATTAACACGATGTTGAACATTTGATAGACCACCAGTAATTCCATTACGGAGAATGTGATAAGCTTCAACTGAATCTAAAGTCATTGGTAAATTATTTTTTAATGTATAATTTCTTAAATTGATTCTTAAACGTTGAACATCCTCATCTTTATTTGATTTTACGACATTGCAATAACAACACATTAACTGACAATTTTCTTTGGTATGTGGTTTTTCATTATCGATTCTATCTAATGTTGGTTATTTGCATATGTAAACGCTTTACCACACATTTGCATTTAGATGAAAGGATTAAATCGTGATAGTATTGAAAATCATCCATTGAAACATTATTTTTAGTATCTCTTTCTGCTTTTTCATCTTGTTTCTTATATGATTCAATTTTATATTTCCAATACTTTTTCGTTAATTCAAAACTTGATTCCACATTTTCTTCTTCTGGATATTTTTCGTTAGGATTAAAGTCTTTATATGCTAAAGCGTAACGAATCATTGATGCATTCGATGATAAAGAAAGATTATGAAGCATGTCAATTTTATAAACAAATGTTTCTTCAATAATTTTATCAATTGGGTCAATCATAATTTCAACATCTTTATTGCAATAATGAATAAAATATTCTAATCTATTCTTAAAATTTTTAGCATCATTGAGATATATTTGATAATCACTATCTGATATAGTTTCTTGAGTTAATGCTGAATAAAATGAATCTTTCGTGAATGGTTCCTCTTTATTATAATTCTTCTTCGTAATTTTCCCACGTGATGAATTGATAAGGGAAAAAGGATTTAACACGTGATTTATTGTTTCCGAAATCTCGAGTGAATTGGTCTAATGTCCCACCCGCTATATAATTTCTGATGTCAATAAATCTCAATTCATATGGAACGTTTGTTTTCTTTACAATGATTTGCTTAAATTGAAGATGAACCCAGCAATTTATTTTCCATTTTGCAGTGTTTAAATCACAGAATTAAATTTAAATCAACTTTCCGAATTAAAACCTATGATATTCACTTTATTGAATTCTCATCTAGAAGTTCTTTAAATACTTCCTTCTTTTTTCATTTAATGTTTGTGACTTCATTAATTCTTCATATTGTTCATATATTGATTTAGCAACTAATGAACAAAAATAAAAATTCAATCCAATCAGAAATAAAAGAATCACTTGAAGTTAAGCAAAAATTCCTCGTAAATGTTTTATCTCGGTCTACGACCTCGCCGCTTTGCGGCTTTATTTTGACAGTTGATGATACCATATAATGGTTTTAAGTAAGCATTCAAAGTTGCACATTCAGAAAGTTGAAGTTCTTCTTTAGTCTCTAATGTTTCGAAGTCAAAAGTAATATAATATCTTGTTGGTTTATAATATTCCTGCAAATTATGTGCTAATAGCCATTGATATATCTTCTGTTTCGTGATATGTGGTGCATATGGTTGTTGTGTGTTTTGCAATTGAACGTCTTGAATTAATCTTCCATTATTTTCTTTACATTTCTCACAATGTTTTAAAAATCTTCTTTGGTTTTTCCTTTCTGGATCATCACGGATAGAATATACTTCTTCTTTGCAAAAGGGGCAAACTTTATATCCTGTGAGTGCTTCAATGTCTGTTATTCTATCAGCGTGAAGTTTTCCACATGGACTCTGTGTTAATAAAATATTTACTGTTTCAAATTCTGGATCTATCATTATTGAATCCACTAATGGAAAGTCTACCTTGTTAATGTCTACGTCTTCTGGTTGAGGGTCACAATAATAAAAATCAATATTAACGTTTAACATTCTTGCTAACCTCTCACTTTCTGATGAAATGTCAAACCCTTCATATGCATCTATTGCTTCGTTTAAATAACTTCTACGAGTTTTAGGATTAACACCATCAGGAATGTTATAGAAGCGTTTAAATAACCTTCTACCTTCGGCTCTTATTTGATTATCATTCATTTTAGCTGTTCCATTTTTGTTCATTTATGTAAGAATAAAAATTAAAAAATAAATAAAAATAAAGTTTATTTTTTTTAAAGTCCAGGGCTAAAGTCCATAAAATGAATTAAGAACACATAAATTTTTATCATCTGCGACGTGACGAATACATTTTAATTTACTCAAGAATGCGTACCCTGATACATTAAATCTAATTCCTGTCTTATTTAATTTCACAACTTTGAAAAGGAATGTATGAATAGCTATAAAATGATGAGATGATGTTTTATGGGTTGCTTCCATTTTTTCTGAAATAAATGAATAAATATAATGCTTATAAGTTTTCATATCTTTTATGTTCTTAATAACGAATGGTATAGACCTTTCCACTTCGTCTTCCTTCGGTGCTGTTCTTTCATATGAAACATTATTGGTATCTTCAATAATGAAACCACAATCACATAAAATTTTATATGTACCAATTGTTTCTTTTGATATTTTATCTAACAATCAAAAACTTTATCAACACCCGTGCATTTATTTAAATAATAATTTGTGTAAATATCATGGTCTTCTTTCTTAATCGTATTTGTTGCATATGTTACATTTTTCAATGCTTTTTTGAATTTTTCAGAATCAAGAGGAGGTGAAAGTAATATACAGGGTATTCTTCATCGTCAATAAACTGAAGCTTATGTTTATGAATAAATTTTGTGCCTTCTTCTGAAAGTGTTTCGTCAATATCACCATCTAATAAATTTTTAGTAGATTCCAAAAAGTAATTTTTATATCTTTCTTCATGAGATTTCTGAACTTCTGATTCTGAAGCTGGGATATTCATTAAACCCTCTACTTCATTCTCATTATATTTTTCAACTTCTCTTAATTCCTTAATTTTTTCATCTATTTCATCTCTTATTTTTTCCAGTCTTTCAATTTCATCATATTCATCATCTTTAATCCGTTCTTCATAATATTCAGGGAAAACATCAGGTTCTTTAGGTTTTTCTTCTTCAGATGTGGGATATAAGAAATTTATAACATCATCTTTATTCATTTTTCCATCATAATCAAACTCATTTAAAAACTCTGCGAATTTTTTACAATTTCTTAAATAATATTTATCAACTTCATAACCCGCCTCCTCTAATATATCCTTTATTTCCTCATTTGTGAATCCCATTTTTTTAACATTGTTAGTTGTGACACTCATTTATCATTAAATAAAAAAATAAATTATTCAAAAAATGTAAGACATGAATTTTTAAAATTTATTTTTCATTCATGAAAATAATTATTTCTAATTTCTTTTACTCTCTCGTACATACTAGATTTAAAGAATTCAGAACTTTTACCATAATCTCCTAAATGTTTTCTTATCCCTAACGTGTGCCAGTTATTATATGAAACTGAATAAACTTTATCTTTATCTTTACACCTTTCATCACTTCCAATATATTTATATTTCAATTTTGATTTAGCATTTTCATATTCATTAACGTTTAATAATTCACAGTCTTCCTTTTTAAATAAATGTTTTATGTATTCAGGATTTAATACTCTACGTTTATATGCTCCTAACTTAGTTCTAAAGGTTTTTCTACAAAATTTAGGAATTCCATCCTCTTTAATGTCATCAATGATTTCCATTTCATTATTTTCAATTTCTTCTTCTCGTTTATGAGGTCTTTGATTATGACTCCATTGATTCCATGAAATTAAATATTCTTTATCATTATATTTATACCTCATTAGCTTATTTTGGCTTTCATATTCATTTAATAATTCACAATCTTCATTTTTAAATTGAAGTTTAACCCATTCAGGATTTAAACAATGTTTAATTAATCGCGGAATATCTGACATCATCTATATATAGCTTCTTTTATAAAAGATAAAAAAATAAATTATTTTAAAATTAATGTTAATTTTTTAATGATTTATAAATAAATATATTTTAATGCATCGTCTATATATAGATGTAACAAAAAAAGTCACTAAACCCTTCCACATATACTACTTTTCTGCGAAATTTGAGCCTAGAAGGTTCAAATTTCGCAGTCAATCCAAAATTAAATAGGCGTGTTATAATGCTCATATGTTCTTATTGTTCCTAAAAAATTGCATATTTTTTTGAATTCTTTTTTATATATAAAGTTTATTGGAAATCAAATTTACTCATTATACAATAAACTTTATTTGCACTTTAAAATGGATGGATATAGAATTTTTTAAATTCTCATGAAAGAATTCATAATATTGAGGATGATTATTGTAGCTAAATGTTCTCAAAATCAACAGAATCGATCTTACACTATACGAAATTATTCAAAATTATGATACATTTTGAAATTATATACCAAATAGCAATGTTATTCTTATTTCGTATAGTGTAAGATCATATGACTGTGCAATGTTAATCTTATTTCGTATAGTGTAAGATCATATGGCAGTATTTATAGTGATGAAAATTGAAATACATTAAATTTATTGAGTTAGCTTTGCCGGATGATTTGGTATTCATTGTAATATAACTAATAACAGCAGATATAAGCTGTTGATGGAATAGAATTTAAGCATTATAATATTCGAATTAATAAAGGTTTAGACTAAACATTTGGAGTAAAAATTTCTATCCTCATTAAAATTCCATTATTTACGCACTTCTATCTCCCTATTTAATTAATATAAGAAGAAATATCCATAACTGCACATCTCGTCGAACAAAGTTATTTTTTAGCGGATTTAGGGATCTTTATCTTGCTATACGAAGAGCTTAAGAGGAAACAATCTATACCAATATACATCTACATAGACTGGTGTGCATTGCCAATATATTTTCATTAAATGAAATCAATGATATATCTTTATAAAAAAGAATTTTGAAAATTTGTTCACATGGAGGTTTAATCTTAAGATTAAATATGATAAAAATTAAAAATACAATCTATAAGTTTTTAATCGTAAGTAGTTTCAAAGACACCAGTAAATAAATTATCAATCAAAGCGTTAACCTTTTCCTTGTTCAAGTAAAGTGGGATCATTGAATCCAGACCGATGTTATCAGTCTTCATGTCCTCGGCGTAGTAAAGAGGAGGATCGACTTTTCCAAATCCTCCGAAAAACGTCAAAAATGTTGCAGAAGCACCAGAACCTGTCAAAATAATGAAAATACTCTGGCCGAAACGCAGAAAATCAGTTCTTTCAATAACTTCGCCTGAAATAACGTTGTACCACATTTCTTTGCAGACATCAGCTGGACTGAACTTCGGCGGTGCGTAGAGCTTTAAGTATTCGTTTGGTAAATTGAATTCGAATGGTTTTGGCTCATCTTCTTTCGTAAATGAAGTATTAAAAATTTTATTGACTTCTTCAAAGGAAATTTGGTGCTTTCTACCGAATATTAAGTTGTCAAATACAAGCACGCGTCTGAAGAATGTTAAATTGGTACTATTAATCATTTTGGCGACATCAATAATTTTATCTGCCGGATTTTCATCGCAATTAGCCAAAGCGCTAACGAAATCCAAGAATTCATCTTTGTCTTCAGGCTTTCCACCCGTTAATTTATGAACTCTCATGAAATAGAAAGCAGCTCTGTTTAATTCGATTGTATCAGTCAAATCGTACATCTTTACAGGTGATCTGAGTCTTATCTCTACTTGCTTGATGTTATTGGCCGTTAATGATGGAAGAATTTCTGAAATTTTTGTATCATCTTCGGAAACTGGGGAATATTCGAATGACCAGTCATTAGGGATCTTCAATATTGGTAGTAGTCTGTTATACATCTTCCTATCAAGTGGGCAAACCGCATTATGTTCGTCAGGAACGCATTTTCTGTGAATCGCGTGTCTGCAGCCGTAAAAAATCTTTCCTTCTGTTTCTCCGATCCATCTCAAGATAGATGATTGTGTCACATATAACATGTAGCATAAGTCATTCGATTGCTGGCAAACAGCACAGACTTTTTCATCTTCACAACCGTCGCTATCGTCGCTATCGTCGTCCGAAAAGTTATCGATAAAGTTTGCTTGTTCTGTTTTCATCTGCGATAATATCTTTGCACGCATTGCGGCTGCTTTCGCCTTATCAACTTTGTTGTCAGAATTTTGAGAGGCCTTTGAATTTTCGCCAATCATACTCACAATTTTTTGACATGGAGTTTCTACTTGTTTCAATAGGTTTATAATGGACTCTGTTGTTCCCTTGTACTGGATATTCATCTTCATCATCTGTTTAAGGGATTCCGGAGCTTTTTGAGTAAGTTCTTTGAGGTTATCCGCAGAAAATCCTTCTGATTCAGGGAAATCAATTCCGTTTTCAGTGATATACTCTCCAATGATCGTATTAACAAAATGGATCGAAGACGGGTGAACGTTATTCAGTTTGTGGACAGTTGAATAAAGAATATCGAAAACGACTGCGTTGATGAACTTCGTATTTACAAAATCCAATACCCTCGCTGGCATATCCTTAACGCGTGGATATGGAATGAATTCGTTCTTGTTTTTGTTGATAAAATACTGAATTGAGCTGAAAAGTGTTCCAGAGTTTTCGTAAGGAGCGTACGGAGAGACCATGTGTGTGTCTTCCAAATGGGACCTTGCAAATCCTCTGTTGCTAACAATTTCTACTTTTCCTTGCAATTTCTTAATTTCTGCGACAACATCGACTTCATCTGGGTAAATGTAGCGGAGATCGGATGTTGGTACATCATTCTCTGATAAATACGCGCCAAGATAAAGGTTTCGCCACTCAATTACGTTTTTTGAGTAAAATTCGTTCCATGTCGTCAAGCTAATGATGAATTGAAGGAAGTAGAAACGTGCTAAGCCGATATTTTCGTTATCTTCATCGAAAATTCCAAACGATTTCGCGATAAATTCGACAAGATCGTTTTTGTCGTCAGAACAGCTAAATAAAGCTTGCAGAGCACCGAATTTCATGATAAGGAGTTCAGGCATAGATATTAATTGCTTCAAAAGGTTATGAACACCTTTATCATTTCGGACAAATAATTTCATTATGTAACCACGGATCGCAGTGAACAATCTGAGCGGTAGATAGGTCATATTCTTGATAAACAACTGTTTTTCGACGTTATTTTGAGAGCAGAACTCATCAATAATTTTTCTTCCGTTTTCTTTGACGAACAAACCAATTAAAACGAATGGGAACACTCCGGATGTGAATGTGAAGTCATTCGCAAACAGAGATTTCGATAAAACCTCTTCCGGATAATAAATTTCGGATTTTTTAAGTTCATTATAGAAAACAGTGATTGCTTCCACGGGATTCCTGGCTCCCTTCATCGATTCTGCAATTTCTTCGTAGAAAATTGAAAGATCTTTGTTACAAATTTGATATAAATCGAAATCATCAACTTTTTCACCGAATTCCTTATGAATTTGGCCATGAAGTAGCATATTTACCGAAGAAGCAAGAACTTTACAGGTAAAATCTGCAGCATCTTCAGCTAATTTCTCTGTTTCGTAAAGAGATTTCGGAATATCGGTAGAAAAGGACAACCATGAAAAGAGGCCAAGTTCGGCTTCTTTATCGTAAGTTAAATTTCCGAAAAGTTTGAAAATGAAATCGTAAAACTCGATTCCGAAGTTTTTAGGGTTAAATACGCCATGGGAAATGACAGAACGGAAGGAATCAATGTCAGCCATAATGTAGTTTGATGATATAATCTCCTGGTAGCCTGGACATGGTTCGGAATACTGACTAATGAAAAATTTTGGTAATAATTCGAGATAAACTGGAAGAATGTGATCAATAAAGACGTCGTCGTATATAAATATCGAAAAGAGGTTCGTGTAAGTAGATACGGCCCAAGATGGCGAATTAAGCAAAATATTGAAGAAATCTGTTAATTTTACGTTTGCGATGAAGCTGAGATTGAAAAGTCGAACAATTGGGTTGCCAGCTTTGCAGAGCTTGTTAATCCATTCGAATAAAAAGCCGAAATCCATCGGATAATCAAAATCGCATTTTTGAAGTAGTTGATCGAATCCTTCTTGTAGCTTTGTTCTAACATTCTCATCCAGAACATTTGGATCGAAGTTATCGGCATCTTTGTGCTCTGGACAGAAACATTCTGGATTAAACAATTTTGAATTGCCGCAATCACAAAATGCACCCAATTGCATTTGTACACCACATCTGTGGCCTTCGTGGTTACCATTGAAAAAGCATTTTAAGCATAAACATGAATCTCTTCTTTTAAGACAATCCAAACAAAATCCGACGACATTTTTTGAATTTACAGAGAAGTCGCACCTATGCGGTACATGACTAGTTAAATCTTTTAAAAAATCATCAAAATTTGAAAATTTATCGCCCATTAAAGATTTTTCGAGATCTTCGATTATTGGAGTGAGTTCTATCGAGAATGGTATTACTTTTTCTTCTTCTTCATTCATATCTTCTTCATATAAATCATCAAAATCTTCTTCGAATTCCATAATTTTTTTTTAGTTGATACAGATTTTTTTGTCCTTGATTATTTTTGAAATTGTTTGGAAAAATTTGAAATGCTTATGAATAATGATTAAAATCAAGTGACATTAAATTTGCGAAATTTTTTTATTAATGGAAAATTGATTTAAAAATTTATATTTCATTCCTAATTTTCCGAATTTGAGTAAATATTTTGAAATTAGGGTTGTACAAACTGGCACGCCTGCTGGCACACCTTTTTTGGCCAGCTGGCACGATTTTTTTAAAAAACACATTAAAAAAGTCACTTTTTGCCCCATCTAATGAGATTTTTTTTTACAATTTTTTTCCCCTTATTTTTCAATTTAGATATGATTTTAAGCTCTCCAAATTGAAGTTTACCTGATGTTTCTTAGTTTTTATGATAATAAAATGTTGCAAAGTTGAGTTTGGATTCAATAAATTTAAGAAAATTTTATTTTACAATGAAATTATAAGAAAGGATGTTTTTATCCTATGTCAAAGAGAATACATTTGTAGATCCCGACTTTTGACATGGTTGAAAATTCCAAAAAAAAATTCAAAATTTAAAAAAAAATTAAAAAATATAAATTTCATGTTAAAAAATGATTTTTGAAATTTTTTTGGAAAAATAGAATGTCATATTTTTATGTTTTATTGCTATTTTTTACGAAATCAATAAAATATTTGTTAATTTGGCTGAGATTATAAATAAAATCTTTCTAAATCTTGCAATTGATTGCTAAAATCTGTTTTATGTATTAATTGGCATTGAGATTCGTTATAAAAGAATGCGAATTATTTTGTATGAGTAAACGTATTTTGTAAAATTTCAAATTCTCTTCTCTCATTACTTACCTTAGATCTCTCGGCTTTTAGCTCTCAGATTTCGCTCATAGAACTCAGGTTTTAGTTATGTACTCATAGATGTATCATTACTGCCCGCAGATCTCTCATTACTACCTTACTAACCAGATCTTAACTCTCATTACTACCTTACTAACCAGATCTTAACTCTCATTACTACCTTACTAACCAGATCTTAACTCTCATTACTACCTTACTAACCAGATCTTAACTCTCATTACTACCTTACTAACCAGATCTTAACTCTCATTACTACCTTACTAACCAGATCTTAACTCTCATTACTACCTTACTAACCAGATCTTAACTCTCATTACTACCTTACTAACCAGATCTTAACTCTCATTACTACCTTACTAACCAGATCTTAACTCTCATTACTACCTTACTAACCAGATCTCTTAACTCTCATTACTACTTACTAACCAGATCTTAACTCTCATTACTATCCTACTAACCAGATCTTAAACTCTCATTACTACCTTACTAACCAATCTTAACTCTCATTACTACCTTACTAACCAGATCTTAAACTCTTACATTACTTACTACCTCATCAGATCTTAACTCTCATTACTACCTTACTCATCAGATCTTAACTCTCCGACCTTACTCATCAGATATCTAATTATTTACATCTGATTTCTCACATCTCACTCAAGTCTCATTACTTACCCTATCTTTTTAACCTTTTCTGATAATTACTGAAATAACTAAAATCCTTTTTTTAGTTTAATTCTGATATTAAATTTTAAAAATCTCTTTAATTTTTTGAACTACGCCTTTAATTTGTAATTGCCGATTTCACAGATTTGAACCATTTAATAAAATAACATTATTCAACTTAATCATATCAAACATGGTAGTTTGATTTTCAGATCTACATTTTAGAAACCTCTTTATTATCTTGAGTTATACTTTTATATATAAATACCTGAGTTCATAACTGAAAACTCTTAATTAGAGTACAATATTCAACTTAATCATAACAAGATTTGTTGAATTTCAAATTTGATTTATATCTTCCATCACTTAAAACTCTCACAGCTTACAATATAAGCTAAAAAGTATATTTTCATAGTAATAAAATTAATATTAAATTTTTTACTTTTTCCTTTCCAAAACTAGAAAAAAAGGAAGGGAAAAGGAAAAAGAAGAAAGAAAAGAAAAAAAAAAAAAAAGAAGAGAAAAGAAGAAAAAATAATAATGAGCATATTATATAATTGTGGTCATAGGCCTCGTGGCGTGGAAAGGGTGGAGCCCGAAGGGCGACATCCTTTCCACGCCACGAGGCCCGATTTTTGGCCACTTTTTTGATTTTGGCCGCGTGCCAGCTCCTGGCACGCGGCCCGCAAAATTGTGCCAGTTTGTACAACCCTATTTGAAATTTTTGTAACCTGCCTTTGATTACAAATTATACAAAATTTATAAGTTAATCAAAAATTAATCATTTTGCATGAATTTTCAAATTGTTTTATTAATTTCTGACAATAAATATGCTCATTGATTCAGCCAATAGACTATCCTTCACAAATTATGTACATATCTTTTAACATTTTTTCTGATGATATACAATTTACTTCATAAAAATTAAATTTCTCATATAACATTCATAATGTGGTAAAAATATCTATATAGAAAGAAACATCTTGATCTGTATATGACTATTACTCTATTTTATATGAGGATATCTACTATTTCATTAAGTTTCATTTCTCATTTCATGTTAAAGAGCTTTTATTATTCATTTCATTGACTGATACACTATGCAATATGAGAAGTGCTGGTCTATTATCATCATGACAGAACATTGCATAACGAAGAGGAGTTTCTCCATGGAGATTTGTAAAATTCTTATACTTCAAAATCTCCTAAAAAATACCATTGATTATCTTGATAGTATGCTATTCGATATTTGGTAGGGTTGAATACTACTAGCTATAACCTTTTTAATTCTTCGTATAAACTTTGCTCAACTGTAGGTTATGTGTAAATACCTAATTCCAAAAGTCGGAAAACAGCTTCAATATTTTGTAAGATCTAAAAGTGACAAAAATTATTTTCTACCGGAGAAAATTTTAGGAATGTTTCTAGGGTTTCTCCTTTTCAGAATTATTGGTTTTGAGTTTAATTTATTTCACAATGCCCAAATTAACGATTCTTCACAGAATAACACAAATTTTAACGAAAATATATCTCCAAAAAATCAAATTTTGGATTCATCCAATGAAAACAGTAACCAGCCTTTAAAAGCAAACGTAGAAAACTTTATTCCATATGAAAATACAGACATATATCCACCAAATCCTTATACTCCTTACCCAACGTATTGTACACCAGCTCAACTCCAAAAACGTCAAAAATTACCACGCCCTAAATATGTTATAGGCGGTGTTGTCGCTGCTACAATTGCAGATCAAAATGTCGAATGAATCAAAGGTTTAAATTGCAATAATGTACTTTCAACGACATAGGGAACGAAAATACAGCTTATAATAATCAGAACTCTTTGCATTTTGATCAAAATTTGTTTTATTTTTTCGATTTTTTTTGTTACATCTTTCTTTATCCTTTTTTGTTTGTATTCTAAATTTTTTCTATCAAAAATCTAAAGTTTTTATTGATTTTTGAATGTTAATATTTTTTTTTGTTGCTTGGCTTGGAACCACATAGGTAACATCAACACTTACACAGGTGTGATTTCATTGCTCATTCTTAATGAATCGGAATCAATATTTGAATTGATAAAATCATATGGTTTTAAGTGAAGAATTGATCGTCTACTCTTTTTGTCAGGACTTGCTTATTTTATTAATTAATTTGAGTTTCTTTAGTGAACAGAACTTGTGAAATAAATTTTGAGTTTCTTTAGTGAACAGATCATTTCGGAGATAATTTTTATTAATATGTGTGTGGATTCAATCAATTTAATATTACAGCATTTGACGATTGTTTCAAAATGACAGTAACATGTCACTACGGGCGTGAATTTTATCACATCCAATCAAAAATAGGCTCAAATTTTGAGAACAAGACCGTTGCAAATAAAAATAAAAGGTTTATAATTTTCAAAATGTCTTATTACTACCATACTCCAGAACCCAGAAATACTGATGGTGCTCTGGATGCTTTTGTTGGGGATTTTCCCTACGGACCTATTTGTATCGTGGGATGTATTTGGGTAGTTAACATTATTCTTTACATTATTGCAAGATGTAAGTCTCGAAAAGTTCATCCACGTGTTTGGTATTTGATTTTCAGTTTATTCAAAAATATAATTATCGGATTATTTCCAACTGGCTTAATCAATATCATCTACAAAAGCTCCAGGATAGAAATTTTAATTACTAGTATTGCTTTATTGGGTTTTTCGGCGTTTGCGACGTTTGGTTTTGCTGAAGCCTTTGGAGATCATAATATTTTAATTCCTGGAATTGCCTTACTTGGTTTTTCGATCATCGTAACACTGAATTCAAATGTTTGCATCGGTGTGTCAGATATCTTTGGAGAATATTATCATTTAGGCTTAGTAAGAGCGTTAATGTACAGAACTAAAAAAGATGGTTGTTGCTGTTACAGCAGTTTGTACAGATATTGTCTCACTAAAGAAAAGCGTATATCAAAGATGCTAAGCAAAATTGAAAATAATCCACCAATATTGAATGTTTTAGTTTTTCCAAATCCAATTCAACAAAATATGGTCGTAAATTACGGTTCATGGGAAATTCCAGAACAAGTTGAAATTGATACAAGCCACAAGATTTCTATTTTCAAAATCAAACAAAAGATTGAATTCGATGAAGAATTCCAAGGATATATGGGCGGTCAAATCGAAGAATTAAAACGTCGCTTCTCCCGTGCGTACAACAATAACGAATACAGAGTGATGCCCATGATCCACAAGGTTCCCAAATACATTTGCTTTGCAGAGAAAAGCCTTTATGTTAAATTCTGGAGTTCAAAATTTGGAAGATTTTTGTTTAATATTCTTAGGGTTTTAGGATTAGCTATGATCGCAGAATATATCTTCCTTATACTTGCACACTACCAGAAAGTCACCGCCAGAAGAAAAGTTTCAATTTCTAAATCTTACAAATTTACTCCATATCAACCAGTTCCAGACACTCTTAAACACATCGACCATGATAAATTTGTGTTTTTGGACGCTTACTTGCATCGTATCGAAGAAGAAGAACGAAATGCTCCAGGATCAGACTTCAACTACGCGATGCCACCTCAACAACCATACCCTCCAGGAGAAGCTTACCCTCCACAACAACCCTACCCTCCAGGAGAAGGAGGTCCTTATTACGGTGTTCCTCCACCACAACAACAGCCTCCATTTGAAGAAAATCTTGCTGGACCAACTCCACCACCACAATAATACTAAATTGTTTATATTTCACTATAAATTGTCGAATAAAAATTTCAATTATTTAAAAAAAAAGTGATATAAAAAGAGATAAGATAACGAACAACTTCGAGATGACGTCATCATACGGATTCTTAAGCTTTGATTTGAGTTTTTTTTTTAAATTTTATTTTTATATAAATAGCATGTTTATGAAAGAGTTTAATATTCAACTTCGATAGTGTAAGATGTCTCAAAGACCTTGTGTGCGTCAAGTTTGTTGATCCAGTCTTTTTGGCTGTAATCACCTTTGAACTCAACGCGATCGCAGCGACCATACCATGGCTCGATGCAGACGAATGGAGCATTCTTGTTTGTTGGAGACCAGATTCCTGTGACTGGAGCATCGTATTTCATAGTGATGTATGGTTTCTTCTCCTTATCGCAAAGGGTGATTGATGTAACCTGGCTGTTTTCAATAACTAAGGCATCCTTATCAAATAAATGTGGGTTGATTGGGTAGTATCCGTCATTGCCAGCGTCGAATGTGTAGGAATGATCAACATCAAGGCATCCCTTTGATCCGATGAGTTTGTAGTTAAGATGGTTAGTGTTCATCTTGAAATAGCCGTGGATTTCATCTTCTGGTTTGAAATCTGGATAATTGAAGCCTGGATGGCCACCAACTTGGAAGTAGAGTGTCTTATCTGATGGGTTTTCAACAATCCAGTGAACTCTGAGGACTTTTCCATTCAATTCGTATACAACTTTCAAAACGAAGTCAAATGGGAATAAGGCCTTTGTTTCATCATTGCTGGAGAGCTTGAATGAAGCCTTGTTTCCTTCAATTCCGATGAAGTCGAATTCGCGGTCGCGTGCAAAGCCGTGTTGGCCAAGTTTGTATAAAGCACCATCTACATGATATTCACCATTCCATACACTTCCAACTAATGGGAAAAGAATGGGGGCATGGCGGTTCCAATATTGAGGATTTGCTGTCCAAACATATTCACGGCCTGTTTTCTTATCAATTATACTTGATAACTCGGCTCCCTTTTTGGCAATGGAAACCTTGAGTTCATCATTAGCAAGCTCGTACATAAGAAGTGATCTCATTCGCTATTTCAGTAGTATTTAGCCGAAGCTCTTTCAATTTTTGTGAGAAAATTATTCAGTATGTTTTATCATTGTTTCTATTGCTTATTAATAAAATGAAATTTGTTACAAAAAGAAAAGTGACAAGATTATTTCTAATTTGGAGAAAAGTTTTCAAAGTTCAGATTTCTGTCTGATCTAATAGTACATCATTAAAATGAGTGTCTATACTAGAACTCCACACTAGCGATCATAGAGAATTTATTTAAGTTCATTGAACATTGTTCAATAGAATATAAAAAATCCATACTGATTCTTGCATGTATCCTTTTCATTTCACATTGGTGAACTAAGAGAAACGTAACAAAATCTAATAACTTTGATACATTTAATTCTGACAATTTCATATTTTAACAGACTTTGATTCTATAGTAACTGTTAGATTGTCATCTGCTTGGAAGCCATAGTTTCTAGTATCTTTAACTAAAAGACATATCATTTGTATTTTTGATCAATTTCTTGATATTATTTCGAGAACTAAACTTTGAAATGACAAAACTCATTTTTTATATAAACAAGCAATTGTATTTTTTTTAAAACTATTACTGAATATATCAAAACAATCTGAAAATATAAAAAATCAACCGCATATTTTGATATTTCCTGATTGTTGTTTCATACTTGCATGAATACATCTGGTTTTGATATTGATGGCAATTTCCAAGAGTGTAAGGCGAAATTCAATATTATCACATTTGATTTCGATTGGAGTCTTCATAAATTCTAAATCAGATTTCTACCCTATTATAATTAATCAAGTTTAAATTAGTGGATCAGTTGATTTCGGAAAATGAATTGTTTCGTGAGGTTAATCGGAGAGCTAGATAAGAATAATGCTTAGAAGTTGACAAGGTTCCAGAAATCCAACATAATTGTTTCAAATAAAATTCGATGGACAACATGGCAAATTGGTGTCAGTGGGTCGTTTGTAAGAAAAGACAATTTGGAATTGCTATTTCGAAATTTTTATTCTACATATGAAGGCAAACAATTTTGGTTTTTAAGGATCCAATTTTTTATAGCATATATTTGAATTGGACGGTTTATTTTGGACAATAAAATATTCATTTTGAATAATTTAAGTAGATTAATAATTGGCGATCTTTAATTGTAAAATTGAATAAAAGTTTTAATGAGGAAAAGAAGATAATATTTTTGTAGACATAAAATACTATATGTTCATAAATATATTCGGTTTATTTCTTTCTCAATTTGATAAAAAATTTGATAACTTTATATTCATTGAAAAACATGGAAAATTTACTTTGGTCCTCCAACGGCGCCATATTTACTTAATTTTATGCATAATAATAACAAAATTTGGTTTCTAAGCGAATTTTTATTTTTTATACTTGCGCAGAGATATTTCTCTAAATATTATTAGACACCGAAATATCTCTTCCTAATCACTGATATTCGTTAAGAATTTTTCAATTGAGATAATGAGTACCTCAAATTTTTCAATATATCACAAATTCACCTTTTCAAAGCTATAGTAATCAAATATCTACCAAAAGTTTGAAATCTTACTGAAGACGTTATGCATAGTATATTAGTGTAAGAACAAAAAATTTTATTGCTTTCAACAACTTTTCTTAAAAAATAGTTATACATATTACGAATATGCACTAAAAAAAAAAAAAAAAAAAAAAAAAAAAAAAAAAAGGTAGTGGGGCTTCCAGGCACTTCGTGCCTTCTAGCCCTGAAGATGTTTAGTATAAATGAAGTCTTAGAGGACAAACATGACTATGAGTTTTGATATGACAAGATAGAATATGAGAGAGGTCCTATAAACCGGAGAAAGTGTTATATAAACATCTGTCATATTACTCAGAATATTATACAGAATTCAATAAAAATATATTTTAGGTGAAGAGGTGAGATTTCACCTCTTTTTTCACCTCTTTTTTCACCTCTTGAATTTTCATGAAATTTACACCAAAAATATACTACTAGGGTCATTTACGAAGAAATCTCAACAAAGTCTTTACGAAGAAATCTCAACAAAACATAGACAAGAAAGTTCATGAGAAATTAGATGAAGAAGTCTTAACAAAGTCTTTACGAAGAAATTCATGAAAATTCAAGAGGGTGAAAAAAGAGGTGAAAAAAGAGGTGAAATCTCACCTCTTCACCTAAAATATATTTTTGGGTCATTTACACTCATTTACGAAGAAATCTCAACAAAGTCTTTACGAAGAAGTCTTAACAAAGTCTTTACGAAGAAATTCATGAAAATTCAAGAGGGTGAAAAAAGAGGTGAAAAAAGAGGTGAAATCTCACCTCTTCACCTAAAATATATTTTTGGGTCATTTACACTCATTTACGAAGAAATCTCAACAAAGTCTTTACGAAGAAGTCACAATAAAACATCTGTCAAAAACCGCTTTTTAACTTCACTTAAAATGCCACGTAAGCTACGTAAGAATATACGTAAGAGGAAGAGAGCATTGAAACATCCAATAGTAAAACTGACACCACAACAACAGTTGCAACAACAAATGCTGAATGACCCCACTATGTTGCAACAAATGTCAAGCAATCCTATGCTTTTAAACCGAGTCATTGGTGCACAGAGTGGAGGTTTAAGAGCGGCACTTTTAGCGAAAATGGCAGGCTATGGTGGAGCTGCAGACGGAACAGCCTATAACCCTCAAAGTCAAATGAATTTGAGTTCACTCAAAAATCAAATAACAGATGTCAAAAAGTCAAACATAGACATACAGAAGCAAATAAGTGAAAACGAAAAGAAACTAGAATATGACAGACACACAAAGAAACTCAATGAGTTAAACGTAGAGAAAAAGAAGAAAGAAGAACAACTGAAAGAACTAAGTACAGAGGAATATGCGAAAAAAGTGTCAGAAAAAGCAGCAGAAGTAGCAAAAATGGAACAAGATGTTATAAATTTGAAAAACCATACTACTCAATATAAAATACTGAAAGATGAAGAGATAAAACAAAAAGCCCTGAAGACATATATGGATAGCGATGAGTATAAAAAAGAAGTTGAAGCAAATGTAAAGGCAGAAAAACTTTTACAGTTGCAAAACCAAACCGTACAGTATGAAAACTTAGCACAAGAAAGTAAAAATAACGACGCGGCTATGCAAAAGGCAATGAAAAGCGCAGAATATATAAAAGCTAACAATGACTGGTTAGATGCCCAAGCCAACGCTAAAGCAGCCCAACTCATAGGGTCAATAAGGACAAAAATACAAGCGGATGAAGATAGTTCAAATGAAACTTTAACAAATGCTGACTTTAAGAACGCCTTCGAAGCTCTTCATAGTAAGGTGAAACTAGTGAACGACTTCTCATCTGGAAAGAAACTGAAGTCTGAAGGTTTCGACAACGAGTTAAGAGAAGTAGCACAAAATATGACGAAAATAACAGATGCAGCAACGAGACAGGCAGTTCAAAGTGCCTATGACGCCGTTAGAGCAACTGTTGTGAAAAGTCAAGAAAAAGAGTTACAACAGACCAAAACAGACCTAGTAAATGCTTTCTTAAGAACGAAAAGTCAGGTAGGACATTACGCTGCAGATGGAACATATGTGCCAGCTGGTGGAATTTATATACCACCAAACCCTCCAAGAGAAGCACCTGCACCAGGACTACCTAAAACATTTACATCGTCACATGGACATAGACACAGGCATGCACCAAAACCAACACAACAACCAACAGTTCAAAACCCTGCACAACAACAACCACCTCCACAACCAACACAACAACCAACAGTTCAGAACCCTGCACAACAACCAACAGTTCAAAACCCTGCACAACAACAACCACAAACAGAGCAAGGACATAAAAGAAGTAGAGAACAAGGAAACCAAGAATTCTTAAAAATGCTTAAAGAAGAGTGTGGTTTCCCAGATACTGTTGACTTTAGTGACAGATATAAAGAAGCTATTGGAAAGTTCAAGGATGGAAATACTGACCCGAACCTATTTAGCTTTATGGCTCAGCACCAAAACGGATATAATCTCAAACCTGGAAAATACAAGCTCGCTAAGGGATATGATTTAATAGCATATCATCAAATGACATGGATGAATTTACTCCGAGATATTTGATGTCAGAGCTAAATGACAATTCAACTTTCGTCATGAAACGCGTAAAAAAAAGAGACGGAACGAAAGAACAAAAGCTTATGAATGCGGATGACGTAGATAGGGAAATTGTTGAAAACGGTCTCGGAATATATGAAATGCCAGCAGATGAGGTACAAGAAACTCCACAGGAAGAAGTTCAGATACAACCAGACATGGAAGAAATAGTTCAGCAACAACAGCTAGAAGAGCCTGAAGAAACGAACAAGCCCCTCCTTTGGAAAACTAACTTCACAGAAACTAGATGAAGATTTGGAACAGCCGAAAAATCTTGACCCTCAACAAGAGTATGCGGAGAATATGGAATATTTCCAAGAGTCTAAGAAAGATTCGGCTGACATAGTAGAAGAATATCGAAAAATGTTTGCCGACATACAAAAGACTCCAACACCAGATAAAATATTCAGCATAGAATGGAAGTACTGAAAGAAAATGTACACAAATACAACAACCCTTTTTACTTACGAGCATTTAACGTTCAATCTTCGGATGAACTCGGTGAAAATAAAAGGTTAAATTTCAAGAAAACATATAGAAATGAAACATTGTTTAAAGTTCATTCAGAACCTAACCAAGATGGAAACAAACCTACTTTTGTTTCTGCAGACGATGGAACTACAATGAGATGGGGTCATAAAAGCTAACCCGGATAGGTGGTCATAAACTTACAACCACAATTCCAAGAAGTTGTAGACGCAATTGGAAGTCAATGGTGAACCAGATATAGCTGGTATTTTCAGCGCGGCTTTAATGCCATTGAAAGATATGAAAGATGCAGATATTTTGGACCAGTATAAATGAACATGGCTGATGGAAATATAACACCTGACGTTCTAAAACATT